TTTTAAAAAAAAAAAAAAAAAAAAAAAAAAAAAAAAAAAAAAAAAAAAAAAAAAAAAAAGAGGCACCCTGGCTCAGCAGCTCCTGGCAGCTCCTGGGGCCTGGAAGAGGAGAGATGGACTGAGGGGGTCCCCCAAGATATTCCCTGTCCCCCACCCCCTGGAACTGGAACAGGTCAAGTGTGGGACCCCAGGAGACCTCTTGGTTTCTTTGGGACTCTGAAGTGGGGTCTGAAGAAGGGATGTGAGAAGGGGTGTGGCCATGCCTAGGGGTCCAACACCCCAGCACTGCTCAATTCCAAGTTCCTGGCTCCTGCGAAGGCTGCCTCACCCTCCTGGCATGGGAGCAGGTTTGCTGGATCTCCTGGCACGGAGAAGGACTGAGTGTTGGCTCTGAGGTCTGAGCACCCCCAAGGGAATGCTCATGAACCACCAGTGGCGTGGGTGTGCAGACCCTTCTTCTAATCCTCCCCACTCTTGCCTGCCTTCCATCTCCCCTGTGGGAGGGCAGTAATAGCCAATTGCCTAGCAGCAGCCAAGCAGACATATCCCACCCTCTAGCCCAGGGACAGAAGCAAAGAGGGGAGGGGAGGTTCCCAGTCCCACACCCTCACCAGGCTCACCCTTGGAGCCCATCTTGCCTGGTGGCCCAGGTTGCCCTGAAATCCCAGAGGCAGAGATGCTGAGTCCTGCCCCATGCCCAGGACCAGAAAGAAGGGAGGGATTTGGAGCCAGAAGGTTCAAGTCCCAGTTTCACCCCTTACTAGCTCTGTGATTATGGGCAAACAACTTGTGCTTTCTGAGCCTCACTTTGCTCCTCAGGAAAATGGCAATGATACTACCTACCTGGCAGAGTTGATCTTAGGATGCTGGGCGCCCAGCCTGGAGCTTGGTAGAGGAGGTTCCTTGCCCCTTTGTCGTGGCTCGGGAGCACAGACAGTAATCGGGGCATCTCCAGCCTCCCCAGTTCACCCTAAGGTCCCTGCCGGCTCTCCAGAATCTCTCACCTTGAGGACCTGGGTCCCCCTTCTCCCCAGGATCCAGAACAATTGGGCAGGAGGACAACTTTGCTGGCTTCCAGTTCCCTGGGTTCTGCAGGGAGACACCAGGCAGAGAGGGCAAAGGGTGGGCATGTCTCTCCTGGACCCCTCTGCACATCTCTTTCCATCTCCCAGATTCTAGCTGTCAGGATGCTTGTCACCTGAGCTGGCAAGGGTTTGGCCTATTTGCATATATTTACATGCAGAGCCCAGATTATCAAACTCCCACCCTGCTCCTTGGGGCTAAAAAGGACACCCAGGGAAAGAATGAGGAGTGGGTTGGTGGGGAGGACACCTAGGCCCCTACCTGGGCAGCTGGGGTGGTCCTGGGTCCACAGACAGGCAGGCCCCCCAAGCAGGAGGAGCAACAGGGAGAGTGGGGCCCACAGTAGGCCCATTTTCCAGGACCACAAGAGGGAGGATGCCAGCTTATAAGGGGGCCAGGCTGGCAGAAGGACATGAAGCAAGACTTCCTCTCATTGTCTCCTAAGGACACCCACCTGGGCTGGAGTCAGCAGGGGGTGGGAACATTTCTTCCCTCAGTCCCAGAGAGAATGGGCATTATCCTTGCCTGTCCAACCAGGATGGAGTCCGACTTCTGATCGTGGCTTCCAGGGCTCCCCAGCCATCTCTCCAGACCTCTACATTCATACGGATTTTTCCACCTTCCAATCTTGGCTCATCTGTGTCTTCCATCTGGAATTCCCTCCTCTTCGTCTCTACCTGTGAAGTTCCACCTGTCCATGAAGGTCCAGCCCTAAGGCCATCTCCACTAGGAATCCTTCCCTGATCCTTGTCACCACTATTAATAGTGACCACTGCTACCATTTGCTGGGCACCTACTTCACTCAGGTGTCACACTGAGTGCGGCTTGTACTTCACCTCTGATCCTTACATAGCCTCGCTCTTAGTCCGTACTATTGGCTCTGGGTTATAAGCTTGGGTACAAAGCAGGTACTCAATAAGTAGTGGTTAAATGAATAAATAAAGAAGGAGAAACTGAGGCCCAGAGATGGGATATGACTTCTCTCTGGTACCTTACATGCCCAGAACCACAGAGCTTTTATCCAAGCCCCCTGCCTTCACCAGGGAGATACACCTTAGAAAAGTGACTTCGGGCCCAAAGTCAGGTCCCTTGGGGCCTAAGAAATAGCTGCTAATATAGGACAATCACACGGGCAGCCCATGCAGGGGGCCTGGAGGCTGGGAGGCCAGTGGGAGGCAGCAGCCATGGTCCAGATGTGAGGGGTGAAGTCTGAGCTGGAGAGGGACCTCAGGTGATGTGGGAGGAGAGGGAAGGCTCGCTCCCACATTCATTCAGCAAACCCTCCCTGAGGGCTTCCTCTGTGCCAGTGCTTGTAAGCGTGCAGAGGGCTGAGGTACAGGGAGGTGACAGGGAAAGTGGAGGCTGAGTTTGCCTGATGGGATGCATCAGTGAGAGGGATGCCCTGAGACTGTAGATTCCAGGAATCTGCCCTCCCCAAACTCTGCCACACATGTGCCAAGATCTGCAGACAAGCCTATTCATCATGGCTGTTTATAAGTCAACGTGGAAATGACCCAACCAGCCATTGATATGATCCAGACAAATAACTTAATGACCATTTGGACAAGTCATAGTGCAAATCTGATCTATAATGAGGAGGGCAAAGTCTCAGAACAGTATGTATAGCCTAAACCCACTATGCATTTTAAAAATGCTAAATGTGTGTATATATGTTGTAAATTCAGAGAAAAAGGTCTGAAACACACTGTTAACCATAGTTATTTCTGGGAAGTCGTACCAGGGGGATGAGTGATTCTCACTCAATATAAACTTCTGTCCCCATACTGGCCAGCCACTAAAACAAAACTAAACAATAAAACTTCTGATTTTTTTTTTTTTTTTGACAGCTGGCCGGTACAAGGACTGAACCCTGGACCTTGGTGTCATCAAAACCACGCTCTGGGCCGGCCTGGTGGTGCACTCGGTAGAGTGTGGTGCTTGGGAGTGCGGTGGCGCTCCCGCCGAGGGTTCGGATCCCATATAGAGACCGGTCCGCTCACTGGTTGAGAGTGCGGGCGCAACACCAAGGGTTGCGATCCCGTTGCCGGTCGCGGTGAGGGCGCAACACCGAGGGTTGCGATCCCGTTACCGGTCACGAAAAAAGACAAAAAAGAAAAAAAAACAAACAAAAAACCCACGCTCTAACCAACTAAGCTAACCAGCCAGTCCTATATAAAAACTTCTCCATAGTCCTTTTTTTCTTCACAGGGATTTACTACTTCTGAAAAGAATAAGAAAACATCCAATAAAGAAGGAGGGTAAGGAAAATAAATTGTATTGCAGGGAGAAGCCAGGGAAGGGTGATCCAGGCAGGAGGAACCGCATGTGTAAAGGCTCGGAGAAAAGAAAAAGCAAGGCAGGCTGAGACACAAGTAGATCAAAGTGCCAGGGTCCAGGCTGATGTCCGAGAGGATGGGAGGTTTGCTGGAAGTGAGTGGAGAGGCAGGGGGCCAGGAGGTGGACCGTGGTTGGCAATGTAGACAGTGGTGTGACGTGCGGGCAGGTGAGACTTCTGTGAGGCCAAGGAGTAGCTCCAGCATCCTTCAGAGCCCCTTTGGCTACAGCCAGAGACCCCAAAGGGCAGTGGGATGGAGGGGGAGGCTCGAGCTCAGGCTGCCCAGCTGGAATGAAGCAAGTAGAGCACATGCACCTGCTCTGAACCTTCCTCACATCCCCTGAGACAGATACTGTTGTTATCCCACTTTACAGATGAGGAAACTAAGGCCCAGGGCTCACATGGAGCAGCCAGGCTCCACAGGCTAAGCTCTCAACCACTCCTCTCCACTTCTCTCCTCTTCCTAGCATGGCCGTGGGATTAAATGAGATGAAGACAAGAGACACTGTGCTACATCCCTGGCTCCCAGCAAGTGCCCAGTCAGTGCGAGAAGTTCTTAGTCAGGAAGACTTCTGTGCCAGGGATTGGGGGGGTGGGCAGGGGCCGGGCTTTTCAGCAGGGCCTGAGTGAGGAAGGCCAGAAATGGCTGCCTGAGAGTCCCCAGGGACTCTCCACCTTGTCACTGGGGCAGAGACAGAACTTTAGAGGGCTGAGAGAGCCTAGAGATGGCTCTGGAGGGAAGTTCTGAAGTTCTGCTCACTTTGGAGTCAGAATAGCCTGGATGTAAACCACAGCCCTGCCCCATACAGCTGTGTGATTTTGAGAAGGTGGACTTACCTGAGTCTCCATACCCTCATCTGTAAAGGGACAGGAGAAGGGGCTAAACAGGTATAAAAGGTGACAGCAACAGTCCTAGGTGGAATTCCTGGTAAGGGGAGGACAATGGCCGTACCCTCGCCCCATCCAATCCACACACAGCCCAAGACACAGGACATGGAGCACAGTGCTGGAAAGAGTTCCTTTATTGGGGGCAGTGCCCAGGCCAGGTTGGTGGGAAGAGGCAGGCACAGAACCCAGATGCCAGGCTGGGGGCCCAGCAGGGATGACGATGAGATACGAGGTGGTAGAAAGATGCTCTCAGCTGCAGGTACCAGACCCAGGACAGGAGGGGAAGTCAGGTATTGGGAGCTAAGCTTGCTTGGTGCCCAGAGGGGCTGGAAATTGGTGGCCAAAGTTTTTCCCACCCCCAGTGCCCACAAGAGGGCCAAGAGGGCAGCTTCTGCATCCTCCTTCCCCTCCATGTGGAATACGGGCCCGAGGGAGTCAGAGTCTGCGGAGGCCAGACAGAGAGGACACTCAGGGAGGTGACCCTGCCTCAGAGCAGTTAGTGCTGGAAGAGCAAACACTTTAACATGGGCTGCGGCAGCCTGCCCCACAGCATGCACGGCACACAGGGGGCCTCAAGCATGGCTCCCCTTCCCAGAGGAAAACCAAACCAGACACACGGGCCCAGCTCCTGTCCACGGCCACAGAATTGCGGGCCGCAGGCTCGCCTGGCCTATCACCTACTGGTTTTCCTCCCTGCTGGCAGCATGAGGGGACAAAGACACAGGTTCAGCTGGGCTCCCAGATGCTGGGCCCAGGCCAAGTCTGGCAGAGAGCCCCCCCAACCAGAGGAGAGAGAAGGGGCGTGGCTCACATGGGACTTTGGGAGGGAGTCATTGTCCTTAGGGCAGCCCCAGGGAGAAGACACCTCCCTAGGCAGGAGGGGTGGGGAAGTAACCTGGAACTCCATGCTGGCCAGGTACTCACAGTGTCTGGTAGGTGCTGTCCTTGACTTTGAGGAAGCGCAGCACGAAGAAGGCCACCGCCTGCAGGCTCAGCACCAGCACGACACCCCCAATAAAGCTGGCCCCATCAAAGCCAGGGCTGTGGGCTTCAGGGACTTGGGGGCTCCCTACAAAGGTGAGGCAGGGTGGGGGTTGTAGCAGGCTCTCATGGACCAGGATCCCAGCCCCACCAGTGCAGGTCACCTTGAGGCCCCAGTCCTCACTATGGGGGCCTTGAACACAGGGCTTGGAAGTTCAGCCCAGTTCCTGCAGGCAGTTGGGAAGTGCCTGGAAGAACAGTGTCACAGCCAGGGAGTGTAGGGCATTGTCCAGCTCTGACTGTGCTCCTGAGTGGCTCTGTGGCTTTATGCCACATGTCCCCTCTGTGCCCCCTAATCACATGGTCCTAAGGGATGGTTGGGTCACATAGCAACTGAGCTCCCTTCTAGCCTCCCTGTCCCTCCCTAGCTCATTAGGGTGAAGATGGACCCAGAACTCAGGCATCCAGACCTCCCAGCCCAGAGCCCCTTTCAGCCTTGGGTCTTAGGGTTCAGAGCCCAGATACAGATGATATTGTCCCTTTTCAGGACCCCTAAGCCCTGAGATCCCAGAGTCACCCAAATCAGAGTCCTTATTTAGAGAGAACAGGAGCAGAGGAAGAAGTGGAGGCCCAGGGCTAAAACCCTACCGAGCAGGTAAGCAGAGACTAGACGATGTATATCTGAGGGAAGGACCAGGCTGTGAGGGCCAGACATGGCCAAAGTCATCTCACAGGGCAGAGGCAGACTCACGCAGGGTCCCCTGACTCTCTCCTCTGCCCCTTACAGGATAGAGCCTCAGGCTGCAGTTGCCAGGCTGTGGCTGGGTGGCTCCCAGCTGTGCCACATTACCATCGACCCTGCTTTCTCCAACAGGGATTAGATTTCAGGCTGGGCCAGGTGCCCAGAGCAGGGCAGGGCTAGTGGGTAGAAGATCGTTCTGGGACAGTGGGCAGGGCCCAGCTGTGAGCTGGGTCCACCTCCCACAGGGTGTATGTGGAATAAGGGGGCCTAAGAATATGAAGGGCAACGGAGGGTTCCTGCTGCAGCTCAGGGAGCTCCAGAGAAGGATGCTGGGGAATAAGGGGCAGAAGACGGAAGAAATGAGCCACACGAGGCTGATCTGGGGCTGGAGCTGAGGGAGCTGAGCCATCAATAATTCAGCCTCTGAGATCGGTTTCCAGCTTTAATTAACCAAGAGCCCCTTCAGCCATCCCTGCCAAGTCTGGTGACCTCCAGGCCCTGAGGTGCAGTGGGAACCAAGGGGCAGGGTTCCGCTCTGCCTGGAACCTGTTCCGCTCTGCCTGGAACCTGCTTTGTGACCCTCTCTGGGCCTGGGTTGCAGTAGGTAGTTACTGAGGACATCTAACTAGCAACCTCAGCCACACACCCTCAGTTCCAAGGACAGGTCCTAAGGGAGTCACCCTGAGTTCCCAGAACCAGGGATGGGAACCGTCGTTTTCTGATCACCTTCAGTGTGCCAGACACTGAAGTGGGCACTGTGCAGCCTTTCATAAATCCTCACAGCAACCCTGTGAGCAGGCATTGTTCAACCCATTTCACAGATGTGCAAACAGGCTCAGAGGGAGAAGTCAAGGACTGAGGTCACAGAACATGTCAGTGCCTGAGCCCAGACCTGTCTTTCCCTGCACCTCTGGTTCTCCCACCATCCCACCCCCCACATAGTACCTACCCGTTGTGATTGTCTTCGGTTCAGAGGTGGGGTGGTGGTGGGCAGCTGAGGAGACAGGGAATCCATAACAACACAGCCCTCCCCGCCCCTGACTCCCATCAAGACCCCAGCCCCAGATGACAGCTGATTCAGATCAGGCCCCTGTCCCGGCCCCAGACATCCAACATACTTTCAAGCCTTAGTCACAGTTTTTGCCACCAAATGTGCCCTCCATCTCTACCCTCACGGCTCATCTCTGATGTCACTTCCTCCAGGCAGTCCTCGCCCCCCATTTCATTCTGCACTTCCAAAACTCTCATTATGCCTTAAATTAGAAGAGCTAATGTCCCAGACCTTCCATACATCCGTACCAATTTTCACATGAGGAAACAGGCCAGAGAAGGAAGGGACTTCTCAGCAAGCTAAAGGCAGAATTGAAACTGGACCCAGCTGTTCGTGGACACAGTTCGCTCCCTGAGAGAGGTTGGCTCCTCCCAGCGGGTAGGCTCTGGCTGGGGAGACCTCAGCACTCCCCCTCCCCCACAACTTGGTTTAGACTAGTGGGAACCCCCTTACCGGGACATGATTCTGAGCGGTTGTAGACAGAGCAACCTTCCTTGACCACCTCAGCTTGGGCCATACAGTGTCCTGGTGGGAGAAAGTGCAGGGGAGAGGTTTGGGGACAGGGCCCAAGGCCCTGGGGTTGCGAGTTGGGATCACTCAACTTGAGGAGGGCCCACCCCCAATACCTGGCTCCTCTGGCCGACATTGCTCCCACACGCAGCCCGAGAGGTTGTGGGCTCTGTCTCCCTCTACACAACGCTCACAGAGCTCCAGTTGTTTGCAGCCCCCTTGGACAGCCGGCCAGATGTTCAGGCGGATCAGGGCTCCCCGCCCAAAGCCTCGAGCTCCTTTACCTGGAAGCAGGGCGGGAGCAGGAAAGGAGCAGCTCCTTGAAGTCAAGCTGCAGCACCTGCCCCACTACTGTGGTTCTTGCCGCTTTGCACACATCTGGGTTCCCACATACACTCACACCTGGATCCCCTAAGACCCACTGCACACCTGGAGCTTCCACAAGCACATGATTACACACATCTAGAAGCTCCTTCACATTCACCCAGAGCCCACTCCCTTTGCACATATCTGGGGTTCCCGGATGCGTTTGGAGCCACCTCCCCCCCACACACCTGAAGCTCCCTCATCCCCCCCACCTGGACCCTATATACACACGGGGCTCCACGCACAGCTACAGCCTCCTTCTCCCATCCCTGGAGCCCCGCACAGGACGGGAAAGTCCCCTGCCCCCTCCCCTCAAGCCCAGACTGTTCCTGGGAAGGCGGCTGGGTGAGGGACGTGCTCCACCTGTCCCCCCTGCCTGGGCCCCAAACCAGACCGTGCCCCGCGTTACCAGCCACAGCGAGCTGCGCACACAGGAAGAGG